CTACCAACTTTCTAATAACTTCCCCAAAGTTAGCAGGGACTTACTACATGGATAACCAAGATGTAAGGGGGTTATAAGGGGGTTATAAGGGGGTTACTAACATCTATAACTTAACTTAGGCCCAACGTACAATCTTAGTATCATTGTAAAAGTGACGACTTCTTGCAGGCGGTACTCCTGTTGCCACGTGGTACTTGAAGATGGCTTCTCCGATTTCTTTGTACTGGGTCTGAGTCACCATCGTAATGCCAAGAGCGGCGGCGCATGCAAACCGATCTTCTAGTGAATCACTTTTGACCGCCAGGGGGATCTCGGCCGCGTTGAGGTTGCCACCGACCGCTGTCGGGATGGTGGTGGCCAGCCTTGGGTCAGCGTCCAGGGACAGCGCGTCCGACGAAATCTCGCCCAGGCTTCCGAGGCCAACACTTTCGGCGCCTTCGTTTGCCGGATCTGACACTGTCCAGCAGACATACTCAGAGGCACCTGTGTCGAGGTTCGACAAAGCGTCGATCACCTCCGAAAAAATCCTAAACCTTGAATTTGTTTAATGCAGTTGAGGGTTCAGGGATTTAAGCCGGGGTCGAAGGGTTCCTTCAGGGATCCCGAAGTTTTTTCTCTAAATGCAGTGTAGGGCTCGGGGATATAGGGGCTTAGGGTGGCGAGGTTCAGAATGTAGGGTGAGGGTTGAGATGTTGAGGGTTTAGCGTTGCGGGGTGTCGAGTTGAAGGTGTAAGGGTTCGGGGGTTTAGGGTTGCGGGCTCGAAGGGTTTATGCGTTTTCGTCTTGCAGCGGCTGTTGTAAAGTATGGTGGCTTGCTACGGAGGCCGTACAATTGCGGTATGAGGGCCTCCAACGATGGTGATGAGAGTATGGCAGCAATTCTAGTACCAGTCACTATCCATCGGTGCAAGTCTAGACCCGACACCCTCAATCCCAAACACTGCGACATAAACCCAAGGTTCCGGGACCCTTAAGGCCCCAGCGGTGCGACTCGAGCTACGACTCGAGGTTTTGTGCTCGAAGGCATCGGCAGCTTTGATAAGCTCGTCGACCGATTTTCGAGGTCTAATGTAGAGTGTACAGGGTTTTCCCTAAACCCTAGATCCTAAACCCCAAACCCCAGGCCTAAACCCTAAATTGCGAATCCTAAAGGAACCCTAAGGGCCCTAAAACCCTAAAACCCTGAAACAATTCTCTTCGGGATCCCTGAAGGAAGCCTATGGGACCTAAAACCCTAAAACCCTAAAGACCCTAAAAAAGGCCCTTCGGGATTTTTCTGAAGGAACAACCCTTAACTGGATTTCAAACAACCCTTAGGGAGCCCTAAACCCTAAACCCTAAACCCTAAACCCTAAACCCGAAACTGGTATCCCTAAAGGAATCCTAAGGGACCCCTATACCAGGGTTCCCAGCTGGAAAGCCAGAACTCGCGCCATCAGCGTCGCTTCTTCCAGTGCCTCGGCTTTTTGGGACTCGCGGCTAGGGTTTAGGGTTTAGGGTTTACTTGGTATAGGGTTTGGGGTTTAGGGTTTAGGGTTTAGGGTTTAGGGTTTAGGGTTTAGGGTTTAGGCCTTACTGGGAGGTTCATGGGCAGTTAAAAGTGGGGTTATAAGTAGGGTAACTATAAGTATAACCCGAAATAGGGGACTTATAACCCTACTTATGACTAGCCATGAGCCGCCAAGTAGGGTTTGGGGGTTTAGAGGGTTTAGAGGGTTTAGGCTTGGGGTTTAGAGGGTTTAGACGGTTTAGGGCTTAGGGTTTAGTGCTTCGGGATCTTTTCTTTAGGGGTTGTAGAAGGGATCTCTAGGGATTCTCATAGGCGCTAGGATTTATTACAAAGAGGTTTAGGGTTGAGCGTTGTAAGTTTAGGGTCCGGAAGCCTATGTAGTGTTCAGGGTTTATCGCTGGGGGCTTTATAGCATCTGCATTATCTCAACCCCTATGCCTCAACTCTAAATGCAAGCTGGACTGAGAATGCAGCATCCGAACACTCTAAAAAAACATATGCATGGCCTGCATGAAAGGCTGAAATGCCGAACCTGAGAACTACATAAGATGAGACCCTAAACCCTTAACCCCAAACCCCTGAGCCTCCCAAGGCCCAAAAATGCTGAAGCGTGGAGTCTTACCTGGACTATCCAGGTAGCCTCTACCAAATGCCAAGGGTTAAGTATATACTAGGGTTTAGGGTTTAGGGTCTAGGGTTTAGGGTTATGTGAACATCCTGGTTGAGGCTGCTTTCAGGCAGAGCACCGCCAATCTGCCACTTTGGAGGTTCGTCTGGAAGACGAAGCAGAAGCGCTCCCGGTAGACCTTCCAGAATTTCGGTACGACGACAACACTAATTGAACACTGACAGGCAGATTGACAAGTGCTGCTACTGCTACCACTACTACTACTACTACTACTACTACTACTACTACTGCTACTACTACTACTACTGCTACTACTGCTACTACTGCTACTACTACTACCACTACTAACACTATTCATCCTAATAATCATGCGACCGCGACGACGATGCTGCTGCAGACGACGACATTGAGGATGCGGGGCAGTTCACGCCCGAGTGGTGAATTCAAATGGCATGCATAAACCCTAAACCCGAACTCTAAACTCTAAACCCTAAACCGGCCCTAAATCTGACCCTAGACTTCGATATTTACGGCTTAGGGTTCCAAACCCAAATTAAAACCGAAACCCAAAGGCTCTGAGCCCTGAAGCCCTAAACGTGTCGCCTGCAGGAAGTGCTCTGCTCCCGAGGGTGCAGAAACCGAGGAAAGGATTGTGGCCACAAGGAGCAGGACCTCCGATGGACAAGGGTTTAGGGTATAGGGTGTCGGGTTTAGGGTTCAGGGTATAGGGATTAGGGTTTAGGGTTTAGGGTAAAGGGTTTAGGACTGGTTTAGGGTATAGGGCTTAAGGTTTGTACTTTAAACCCCCGAACGCTGGAACGTGGCTTACGGCTTAAGGATGATTAGTGATTAGTGCTGGGATCCCTTATACGTTACCTTTCGGGCATGAGGACTTCATGCTCCAACCTTATGGGTTCTACTGTATGGGTGGTTGTCAAAATTATGGTCCCTTTTTGGGTCCTTATTATAATACGGCACCTATTATTTAGGGTACCCCCACAAAGGACCATAATTTTGACAACTACCCATATTACTAGACTTGGAAAGTAGTATAACTCGAATAGTCACGTACTCAAAGTCAAGTAATGTGATTGAACAGGCCCATGCGACACAGTCTATGCCCTGCCCGACACCCGTCAAGCAACGGTCCCAACAGAGGTACTTAGAGGATCATGGGACTTAGTACGTAAGGATATATGTCCCTTATTTGGGGTTATAAGTAGATATAAGTATAGTTGCCTTAATTATAACCTTAATTACTAAGTCCCATGATCCTTCAAGTACATCAAGTCCTTCTATACCGAGCTGGGCATGGATTTTAGACCACGAGCTTTCAAAATCCCCAAGCCACGGTTAAGGTTTAGGGTTTAGGGTTTAGGGTTTCGGGTTTAGGGTTTAGGGTTTAGGGTTTAGGGTTTAGGGTTTAGGCATCCCATACGCCCTAAACTGTATAGCTGGCAACCCTGTCGAAGCTTTCCAGCTCCGAGCCCCGCACATGGCACCAGCTGCTGTGAGCAGGCCTTCCGAGAAGTGATGGGTTCAGGGTTTAGGGTTTAGGGTTTAGGGTTTAGGGTGATTCATGACTCAAGATACCCCTTAGCATCAACATAGCCCCAAAACCGTTTTAAAATAGGGTCTTTGGGCCCAAAAGCCTTAGCATCAAAATCGCCCCAAAACCGTTTTAAAAATGGGTCTTTGGGCCCAAAAGCCTTAAAGCATACGAGTCCTTTGAGGGTAAGGGTAAATGTATGTATGGGGATGAGGGGTCTGGGGTTTACTGTTTCATGATTCAAGCTAGTATAGGGGCCGTCATAACCACACACGGTCTTTGGGGTATAGTGTACTATGATTATGTAAGTGCGGTGCTACAATCTGATACCAGGGAATACTACTGTTGATGATATGAATCCTGCAGTACCTTGAGGACCCTAAACTATGGGAATTATGGTGTTTTCCTTACTATGGGGAATGCAGGATTTCTATCATCAAGTGTATTGCCAATCAGTCTGAGCACCCCCAAAAAAAAGAGAAGAGATTCGACACGCTGTCTTCTTGCTCCTGGTTGAAGCGTCTTTGTCGCCAGATGCTTCCCAAACCCTGAGCCCCCAAACCCCCCCCCCAAGCACGATCGTTAAACGATTGCTTCCATCATTTGCCCTTCGTGGGAAAGGCGCCGCAAGCCCACAACTCCTACCCCCCCAAAACCCCTAAATCTCTAGACCCCTAAACCTCTAAACCCCTAAGCCCTAAACCCTCAGCCCAACATTCCTAACTCGTCCACCTTGAAGCCCCGTTGCAAATTGAACTCCCTAGGTACTAAAGTGAACACTACATGTCAAACTCAAACTCCTAAAACCCCTTAAACAAAACTGAACCCTAAAGCAGCACCCTAAGCCCTAAACCCTAAATTAATCCGGAACCCGAAGCCCAAAGCCCGAAACTCTAAACCCTACATCCGAAGCCTAAGAGCCTAGGCCTAATACGAATGACCCGGGTTAAAGGACACTACAGGTGGGGAGTTCAGGGTATATAGGAGTTTAGGGTTGGGGGTTTAGGGGGCTTCTATAAGGTATATAGACCTTCTATAAGGCTCCTATAACTGTAACTACCCACCTGAAAATGTCCTACTTAAAGGATCATGGGACTTAGTAAATAGGGTTATAACTAAGGTAACTATACCTATATTTACTTATAACCCCAAGTAAGGGACTTATAACCCTACTTACTAAGTCCCATGATCCTTTAAGTAGACCGGGAACCCGGATCTCTGCAACATCGGACCCCCGCGGAAGAGGAGCACTCCAGGGCTGGTGGGACTCAAATCTACGGTGGATGATATAAGGGCTTAGGGTTTTAGGGCTTAGGG